AAAAAAGTTTAAATTATAACAATTTCTTGTTTACTTTTCTCCAAAGATAAATGGACTCAGACACATATGACATCAGGTGAATAACGAAAATGACTTATCTTCTTGATGCATGATAAGAAAATGCAGATTCCTACATCTGACACATTTTATGAATCCACTTTTTTATGCCTTTCTTAAAAAAATTGGGTGGCTATTACTTTACTGTACTTCATTATTGATCAAAATACACATTTAGGAAGCAAGAATTAATGCTGTTAAATGACAAGGTAAACAATATATCTTAATTCGTGATGAGTAAGTTTTCAAACTACCAATATATCATGAGAATATCTTTTAGGGGGAAACTAATTGGAATCGTAAGGGTTACACATCTCAATGTCGGAAATTTAAATATTAGTCCTTAACTTACCTTAAGCGTACTAGGAGGATTAGGTATTTAATCAAGTTTTCAAAATGACTAAACGATTTGGAAGCTCATTTAGTCGATTTCATTAGCATAGTGCGACTCGAAAGGTACATATTATGAAAATAACATAACTTAACTAGGGAGATATAGTAAAAATCGATTTTTATATAATATCGTTTGATTCTCACAAGGGAGCAATTTTCATTTATTTTGAAAATTTGCAAATGGCCGTCTCTGTCACCAGTTTCTCCATGAACTGAAGAAAGATAATCCTTAGTCCTTTTCGAATTTATTTGGACGAAATTTTGCTTGGGTGAAAACGCTTTTTTAGACAAATTGTCATTTTCATCCGATTGGTTTTTAGATAACATATATCAAATAGACATGTCGATATACTGAATACAACATTTAGCAAAGCAGAATCAAAAAGTATGGCACAAGTTTAGATTGATATGTATTTAGCATATTTCGTTTAATGCGATTGAAGACTGGCGGTTGCATTTTCCCACAATCATGTAAATGGGCCTCACTTTTACTATGAATTTCATATGGTCTTGAAATTCAAGAGGTAGTCACATCATGGATAGACTGCGGTCACGACCTCGTTCAGCTTCATAAGCACCTCCAGCAGGCCTATTCATATTATTGTATAAAAATGTAACTAACAGTTCTTTATCACCTTAAACGAAATAGGACTAATTCATCTTACATATATGATCTACTGGTAGTCTCGAAAATTTACTTATAGGAAAGAGGACAACTTCAGCTTGTTCTTTAGCTAAAGGCTTATCCTGAACTCTAACCCGAACTCGGTTGTCATGCTTTTCAGTTGGCAATTGAAAGACACATCTTTGGAGACAAAAGATGCTATCCTGAAGATTTTAACGACATAAGCTTAACAGATCAACAATTTCACAGCCTTTGTTAAAGTAGGTCATAAAACTACTCTGTCATACATTTCCAAGCAAATGACAAATGGCAATTAGACGATAGTACATGCATTAGACATCCTAAAATATTCATGTCACATTATGCCAATTTATGCTTACGTTTGGGTAAGTAATTTGTAGTTGTAGCTTTTGGGGATATTTTAAGTAATCAGAGCCATCATTGCAGCATTTGTACCTTGACAAACAGTCAACAAATTAAATAAATGCTCATAACAGAAAATCTCACGGCAGTTTGCGAGCTCAGTTTATGAGATTTACAGCACAAAATCGCACATTTTATCTCTTTCTACTAGGTGCGTGGAGATACCTTGGTATATGGGCAAGAACTCTTTTCTGTATAAGTTACATAGAACACTTATCCTCCACAATAGCATTTATTTTTCCATCCACATTGTGAAAAGTAAAATCAGCTAAGATCAGTTGGGAATTCAAGAAAAAGAAGAACTGGTGCCTCTTTTTCGGATATGCATATTTCATTAATTATATATTACTTAGCTGGATGAGATCAGAAAAAAAATTACTTGGTCTTCCGGAAAGATAAGGGCAACTAACATTAGGCCGTGGCAACTGATGAGGAATAGAAAATTAGTAGGCGGGCCAAATACTTGCGCACGCGTCAGAAGTGTCGATAGTGCATGAAGGAGGAAAGAAGAAGTGACTTTTGATATATACTCATCCACTGTAATAATCGCATCTTTTTGGGCGTCTTCCGAACTTCATCGGGAACAGATTATAGTGAGGTCGGAAGATGCTCCGGATAGGGGAGTTGATAGGACGCCGGCGGCAGAGCTAAGGAAAGTAGGTTAACAAGATGCTGGTGAGTCGGAAAATAGGGCGTCGTGTGCGTGTGAGCAGAGAGCTTAGAAGGGAGCTGGGAGAGGGGGGAGGATGAAGTCACGTAGACACGAAGAACGAATGAAGTGTGGGCGCTAGGGGAGAAGTATCGAGTTAGGTCGTCGGAGGTCTCTGCTGAGAAAATCAAAACGATGCGATCGCGACAAGACACGTGTGTCACCTTTTTTCATAGCGAAATCCTGCGCGAGAATGCCTCATCAATTCTTTGCATTCCATCCAACTTGAGCGGCCGGTCTTTCTTGCCCTGGGGTCATTAAGGAGCTTGTCTACATCCGTTTTATTCCTGCGTCGGATACTGAACTCGACCGCACTTGACATTTGCATAGGGTACACATGCATATGAGCATGCATTTACATGCGTCTGACGCAAGTCGTTTTCATTGGCCTGATGCGTCTTCCGCGGCTTTTTTATCATATGAGAGTTATTATGTCTTCTAGTTGCCAGGCCCGCTAAATCTTGGATTAGATTGTGGTGAAGGCTCCTATACACAATGGCTTAGCTATACTAAACCTTATAAATGGAAAATCATACGTTTGTGAACGAATAACAAGATATTACTAGTGGGATTCAATTTATCATTAATTTGTAGTTAAAACTTAGTTAATTTTTCAGATTATCATAATTTATAAAGTATTCCATTCTATACATTTAATTTAAAGTGGATGTTTGCATGGATGCCACAAATGGAGATAGCTAGAATAACTGTTGAGATGTAGGGCCAAGCACAGAATGATATGAAAATCTAGGAAAGATAGAAGTTTGATAGTTATGTGACTAGGTATATAAAGCATTCAAGTTATCCAGATATATAAGTATATATAAGTTAGAATAGAATAGTTTATCTGGGACTGGATTGAACGTTACGAATACATGTTATTAAGGCCTTATTTGACTAATATTTTTACACCTTTCTGCTAATTACAAACTCATTATAAAAACGACTTTAAAATTAAATGAATATATTCATTACAGTTGTCTAAGATATCCATAATAAAATTAAGAAATGTGCTCTAAATAATCTTTCTTTAAACAAAAATTAAACTTGCAATTCTTGAGATTGTTGTCTAATTCTACTTTGTAAATTGCCGTTTGACCATACTTAAGGTTAATATATGGAATAAATACTCTGTGTATACGAAATTTTAAGAAATGCTTTTTCTATTTATGCAGTTAGGGCAATTTAGTGCCAGTATAGTGCTAAATGAGTCGCCGAAACGTAGCTTTAAAAAGTTATTTTTTAGGATATTGCCGATTTATTTCATTAAAGTCATAATATATATAATATATATAATATATATATAAAATGCTGGACATAGTGATCCTCTTTCAACTGAATATTTTGGTGAGACAGTGCGAAATTATATTTTCCCATATGCTCAGTAATATTTTACTTAATAGCTATAAGTACAATGCAAAAGGCATTTGAACTTGATTTATCTCTTAGACGGAAAATTCTTCTGTCTTGAAAAAGGTAGTTAAAGTAGTAAGTTTACTTTTAAATTCTGTAGTTGATTTTTGGGTACTTTTTAAAATAAATGTAAAATGCGATATGTAGCTATGTTTTTTAAGATCTAAGAATGATAAAAAGATTTACAAGAGATCTTACTCACCCTAGATAACTTACGGTGATTCAAGGATGACGAGTAGAATGTCTCTAAACTGCTATAAATAGACTTCACGATACCGTTCCATTTTTACTAGCCCTGTCTGCAAAAAGTGATTATCATCCAGGGTAGACGGCAGTTTGGAACTCGTCTAGATTTCATCAGCACTACCAAAGGGATTCGAAACCGGGTTGTGAGTAATGTGAAGACATTACCACTCTACTTCACAGTCACTGGCATCAGTGGATAGCAGGACCAATGCGACATTCTACGAAAGTCAGGCTTCCTCCAAATCAAATTTACGATCTTATTGTTGCTGAACCAAACGTGTATTTACAGGTGAAATAGTAAATATTGTGAGATGAGTTCATCAACTTTCGTTTATGGTGATTAGGCACCTGTATTTTCGAAGGCCTTCATGCAAAAGAATATATTATGTATTCTGAGGCGATGAGGTTTCGGGACTGGCAGTGATTCTTGAATCAGGATTTCGCCATGTGAGGTCGTTGAAGGTGATTTAAATATCAGATCCTGTCGATGAAACTCAGGCAAGGTAGAAAATTCAGTCCATTTTAGAGAAGATAATCTTTCGGGAGGCACTAGTGCTATGGGGTCTATTCATTTAGTTGTGGAGAATCCCCAATACTAGTCCTTAAATCGTTATAAGCGACCTAGGATAAATAAGTCTTATTTAAGGTCTAAGGTTTACTCTCAATAACCATAAATATCAAACACTTTAACTTTACAATAACCATGCTTGTTTATTAGAAAAATCCAATCTGCGTTATTTAATGCATTATATAATTTTGCGCTTATATTCGACTCTAAAAGAGGGTTCAAATATTTTTTCCTAAAAAAACTATAAAATTCGTCTATCAGGTTGTGTTAAAGCTGAATCTAGAGACACAAGTATGCCGATAATTCCATGATGACTTAAATCGAAGGGCGCAAAACAGATAGAATTTATGAAGTAATCGAAAAATTGAAATGTCAAGGACCTAAACATTTGATAACTAGATTCAGATTTGAATAAAAGTTGCATTTCGAAGAATTGCCTAAAGCTTTTTTATTTCGAGGGAGTAGATAGAAGCGGATATTAACTTAGCCCTACCGGAAACCGAAACAGGCGAGCGTTAAATTAGGCAGAGAAGTACTCGGTAACAAACACACTAAACAAAGAAAGGTGTTTTCATTATGGCAGGATCAAACACTTGTTTATTTACGTAAGGAAACAAACGTGACCATGATAACCACCTTTTCAGGCATCAGCCTCACGCTAATTTTTCGTTTCTAAATAGGTTTCCGAGACTAACAGTAGCTCAAATATATATGAGGTATTCATCCAATTCCGTTAAAGTGATAACGGGCAGATAGTTGACTTTTTCGACAACGATATGGGTATAAATTACGCTTCAATTGGTCTGGCTTTCTTTGAAATTCACATTTGCTCTGTTTTCCATGGGTACTAGTGACAGTGCAAAATAGTTGTTTAGGTGTAGAGATTTTACACTACACTATCACAGTTCGAGTCCCGACGGAGAAGCTAATGATACCTAATAGAGGTCGAAATTGCAGTCCACCGTTGGAGATGAATACTTTTTGTGATGTCAAGATATGTGAAATTCAATGGAAGCATAATGTTCATTCATATAATTGTGAAAATATTTAACTAATGGCCCCTTATCATCTAGGCAGAATAAAGTAACAACATCATATATATACATATATGGGCTACTTGTATTCTCTAAAACTTACTTATAAACAAAAAATTAGTGTGAATTTGGTGCTTTAAAATGAGGTTAATATGGTCACACTTATTTTGAGAATTAAAATTAACTATACGAGGTTAGTATGATCGGATCCTGGCACCCTTTTCTCGACTAAATGTATTTGGGGCATAGTAGTAGTATTCGATATCAGTATATAGGCTATACTTAAGTTTGGTGTAGTATGATTGCTAATATCATGAGATTGAGACACATAATCTCAAATGTTTATTCCTTGGGTTTCAGGATGGACTCAGGAGATTGCTCAATGCAACTATTTTGATAGAGTTAACATTTGAGCTTCGGTAAGAAATTATTGCCTAACCGAATTGACAGTTAAAATCAACACAAGCAACTCAGAAAAGGAGAGATAGTTCAATTTGCTCTATCAGCAGGGAATTTTAGGCATAAATTTTCACTTATTTATTTCATAGCCTAAGAACTGCTCGAAAGTGACATGATTGTTCGGTTTTTGGAAATATATAACTGTTTCACGGTGGTAAATTTAAAATCCGTCTTTGCTAAAAATGAGGAAAATAGGTACAAATTCGCTAAGTTTCAACACGATCTAAGCCTTAGAAGCCGAGCTAAACTTTACTTCTGGATGGCATTAGTAAGCCTTACCTGTTATACTTTGAAGGGCTTTTCAGGATAAAGATGCATTAATTGATGGGCAAATGTAGCGATATTAATTCTGGCAGAATTTTATTTTTCTTATTTTTATTAGGGGGACCTTCATTTCGAACGAAAGTACATGAAGAAGAGATTCGTTTTTCGATCTCACCAGATGAGGACGGATGAAAATCGTTGTACTGC